ACACACACACACACACACACACACACACACACACACACACACACACACACACACACACACACACACACACACACACATACACATACACGCGCGCGCGCGCACACTGGCCGGGTTAACTTCCAATGCATAAACGATTGCACAGCCCCTAGATTGAACTTGAATAAACTGGGCATTAGCCTTGTCCGCTTTCGAAACACAACGTTATTGTATAAGCCATGTACAATCTGCAATGTTTACCGCTACGCAATATTAGTTTAGAATATATAATACGGTCGAACTAAAACACTGAGTACGAATATTGGTAACTCATGAATATAGTAGAATCTTGACGAGTCGCACACCTCCAATTACTCAAATCCATCTATCCTATTTCTGCTGCGCATGTTCTCCTTGTTAAGTAAGACATCCCGCCTCGCTGTTGTAGGTGTACAGAGGGCTCAATATTCACGTAGCTCTAGTCTATCTAGAGATGTGGAGCACACGTAACATGATACGTTACACAAGAGACGTCGATCCAGAAAACCTGCTGGGCACTTTCAAAACGTACCGTAAAGAGTCAATATGCGCCAAAGTGCCTCGACACGACATAGCCATCTTGGTGAGGTATGCCAATCAATTATCGACAGAAGTTTATATACCAACTAGTATATAATATATACTAAATTATGTATTTAATTATTTATTTATATTAAAATTTATATACTAACTAGTTTTACCTAGTTTTATTACACCTGTTTTATAGGGTTGTCTAGTGCTTAGTACCAGAAAGAAGTATCCGGGGATAATTACAACTGAGTGTGTAAATAGTTATTGTTCCGCGAAGAATTTTCAGCACTGGCTCGTCATGTCCGGCATTGTGATGGGCCATGTGATTATTGTAAAACAAAACAGCCACCAGACGAGAAAGTTTGTACGGCTATAAAATGCACGCACACACGAACGCACGTACGGACACACATACACACACACCCACACACACACACACACACGCGCGCGCGCGCGCACACACATACACACACACACACACGCACACATACACACAAATAAACAAACAAACAAACAAACAAGTAAACAAACAAACAAACACGCACATACTGACGCGCGCACACACACACACGCACGCGCACGCGCACGCGCACGCGCACACGCAACTCAGACGCACGATCGCCACGGCACACGCACACGCACGAGCCAGCACGGCACGCACACGCACATTCGCACTCTTCTCCTCAGACACACACACACACAATGGCACGATGCATTACAAACACCACCACAACGACCGCACATGTCACACAATAGGGCAGTGAGGAAGAAATAGAGTCGGACTGAGAGGGTCGCACGACACGCATAGCCTCAAGAGAGTGGAGCACGCGCCGCGCGCACGCACTACACAGACACACACACAGAGCCACAAAAGCGTGGCACACACGACACACACACACCAAAAGCACCACAGTAGTTGTTGAAACGTAATAACACTGTTAAACCACAATTAATTTGTCTTCAATGTTATACGTATATACGAATTAAGTGTGTTGTACGTATCGTCTGATAGAGTTGACATCATTCAGACAAATGAGGAGTTCAAGGGAGCACTGTGGGGAAAGCATATAACGCACCAAGTTTGCAGCTTTGAGTATGACTCCTAGGAATCGCTCAAGTACGTCTTGGCTAATATAACTACAATACGGACCATCCCAACGCGTGGCGCGACGCCCGCATAGACACCACGTGCGCAGGATACAAGCTCACACGCACGCACGACGGCACGTCAGCGCACGCGCCCAGCATGCACACGCAGGACGCACGGCCATAGGGCCGGTAAGACACACGCAAGCCGCACACATGGCTGCATACAAATTTAATTTTTTTTAAATCAATCTTAATCATTCTTAAATTTTAAATTAAAATTAAAGTTGTAATTAGTCTTAAGATATGTTTATATTTATTTAAAACCGCGACAGACAAAAAGTATAATGATATGCAAGCGATTGAATGGCTGAGAAACTTATGAGCAATGAGTCATTTAATATTAAGCGTTAAAGTTGCATAAAACATGGTGGCAGGGAAATTCACGTTGTGGTGTTCGCCGCCAGTTTCAGCAGCGAAGAAACGCTTTAGTTTGGCGTCAGGTCAAAGCATTGCTACGACGATGGGTCACGTTGATGGGGATCTGGATCACGACCAGATTTCTGGATGGGCGTGTGAGCAAGCTGTGATTGGTGACGACAAACACTGCATAATGAAGTGCAGTCTCACGTGAGTGCTGTGACAGCAGTAGATTAGCAGTATAAGAAGAGTAGTCGTATCTGATACTTGGTATACTAAGTGCTTATTTAACTTATCCTCTTGGTCTCCCGTGGGAGATACGGCGTAACTAAAGTACTACTAAGTAACCAATTAAAACCATTATTTTTTGTATTTTTGTGATAGTAAATGTGCTGTCCATCTCGTGCTATGTTTTCAGCATTCCTGAACGGTTTGCCAGCTCGTTTAAATAGTTGCGAAATTAACAAACGATAGCAAATTAGGTTAGGATTAGGGTTAGTGATGAATATATATAAAGGGTTAAGGGTTTGTTTAGGGGGTGAAAACGTTTACAAGACGGAGACTGTATTAATAACCTATGCCCATGATTTTAACATTGTTAACGAGTTTAAACGACATGAAAGCTACGCTGATGTGCCACTGTCGCCTCACAGTGGTTAGGCGGGCCATTCGTTGATATTGTCGTGTATGTTAGCCGAGAAGCACTGCGTGATAACAGCAGGGAGCAGGAGCGTGTCTCGCGGGAGCGCCTCGAAATTGCTATACATGTCTCAGTATGGCGGCATGGCTTCCTCGAAGAGGAGAGAAATGTGACTGCGGCACTTGTAGAGGTTTGCGAGGACATGGTTACCTGGAGGTCCTGTGGGATCATGTGGGTATGCCTTCTTCTCTCAAAAGGCATTGTGGAATGCGGTTTCCTTTTTATAGTTATCATATGATGATATAGGGATGGGTCATTATAGATCATTATAGCGATGGTGCATATGACCAAGTATGATTAGAGGATACTTTATTCCGCGAGGTCGCACTCGTCCGCACGCTCCCACTCGTCTCGACGCAGAGATGAGCGAATAGTGTTAATAGTGCTGCTTCTCGGGCTGGCTGCAAGCCGCGCTGCGCCGTGCTCGTGCTGCTGAGCGCTCGCACCGGCGGATGTGTCGCCGCGCTGCTATGGGTATTATTACTAGTATTTTTATATTGTAATTATTGTTTGTTGTTTTGTGTTGCTGGTAATGCGCTGTAAGTTGTTGTTGAGGGGTTTGTTGCACGCTGTTCATGCTACGGCCCGTTACGCTGTGTACGGAAGCGGTGTCTGCAAATGTACGACATGCCAGCTTCAGCCGCATGCTGAATGTGGTGCAGGGTCGGCTGTGATTACATACGTGCGCAGGTAGGCTAAAGCCAGCAACGTCTAATGCCAGTGTGAATCGTATATATAGATATCAAAGCAAATCACAGCTTTATCATGCATAGAATAATTATTGCTACTAGTATTACTAGACTACTACTACTCGCTGCTGTGCTAACTACGCCTGTTGTTACTACTACTAGAGGAGTAAGAATTAATATTAGGATCAATATATTATGCTACTCCTGCTACTATACCTGACTGCTTCTGGATGCAGCTACTAACTGGCTGTTGGCTGGCTGGCTGGCTACTGCTCCTACCAGCTACTCGCCACTGCTACTCATCAACGCAACGACTAAACGAATATATCATCATTATTATTATTATATTATTATTCATTATTATTATTTATTCATTTATGCTAATCATGGTATATCATTGTATATGTTTCCTCTCAGCTGAGGCCCGCATCTGTCGTTTGTAGACCAGCTCGACGTAGCTGTGATCTGGCCGAGTATTGCACGGGCAGTTCGGAGCTTTGTCCGGGATGACAGGCGGGATTGACGGAACGGGGAGCTGTGTGTGAACGCGGGTGAGGTGAGCAACTTGGTCGTATGTTGAAACACGAACGCCATCAACGCTTATGATGATTCTATTCATAGTAACATGTCGAACAAACATCTTCTACTAGCTGCTGCGGGTTAGGAAACTTACCCGTAATTTTCCACTATAATATATATATACATATTTATTTATTTATTTATTTATTTATTTGTTTATTTGTTTAATCATTTATTTGTTTATTTGTTTATTTATTTATTTATTTATAGTTTGAGCGAAAAATAAAATACGCGAGCTATATATATAGTCTGACTGAGACGCAGACGCTTAAAACTTGGACTGTTCGAGATCGAGAGCAGTTTGCTCAGATAAATGCGTTATTGTGTGTGAACTTAATATAATTTATTTTTAAATTTTTAAATTTTTATTTATATAATATAGTTTAATTTATAAATCATCAACTTCTGCCAATGCACACAGGCGTACTGCTACGAGGGTGAGTGTTACTCACACCAGAGCCAGTGTCGCCGACTGTGGGGTGAATCGCATCACAATGGTGACGTCGAATGCTACGATAGGAACGTTAATGGTGCAGAGAGCGGAAACTGCGGGCAGGACCGAATACTCAACGAGTTTACCGCGTGCAGCGACGAGTGAGTTACAGGGCTTTAATTATATAGCTATCACATAACAACAACAACAACAACAACAACAACAAACTATAATAATAATTATTATTATTTCTAATGTGGATCACGGCATTACCCGGTGGCTTCTGGGTTGGCCGTGTCCCAACCTGGGACATAGGATTCAAAATCCAGAATTATTATCATTAATTATTATTATTATTATTATTATTATTGTTATTATTATCATTATTATCATTATTATTATAGATATTATGCATTCATATAATTTGCGTCTAAGACATATTTAAACCGGTGGTCTGAATAAGCTCTTTAGTGCATGTGGTAGATTGATTGGGTTAGCTTCCAGGGCTCACGCTATAACGCTGGAGGCTGTATTCGTAATGAATAATTATCGATGAATTTCTAGTTTCGATTCATGTTAGTCGCACAATGTTCGTCTAAAGTGTGATCCGTCTCAAACGACGATGTTGAGCACCAATGCTCTCTTACGTGGCACACACTTATACACATACTTCATATTACTTTACATTACATTACATTACTCGTTTACTTTACTACGTATTACATTTACTTCTCGCTTAACATGGTGGTAATGTAAAAGGTGGCGCACAGCACAGCGGGGAATTCATGTGAACAGGCGTGTGATAACATATATTAATAAATATATATAAATATATATATATATAAATATAATAAATATAAATAAATATAAGCCTATATCACGACGCTCCTCGTGTGATGGCGTGTGCGCACGCTGTTATAAGCAAAGCATGTCATCGCACAGCCACTAGCCAGTGTTTGGACGCGTGCTGTAAACGAAGATATGCTGACCAATTTATTACGGGCTGTAAATCAGTAACAAAAAAATAAACACAGATGCGAGCTGCAAAGTTATGCTGAGTAAGAGACAGATATTTGATGCCCCTTCCTACACACGCACAGGTGCATTCCCTAGCAGGTGCTCACAAATATGCTGCGCCCGCCCACGCGCACGAATCCACCCACGTGAACACGAGATGAAGTCGGTCATAAGCAATCAGGAACCTTCGGACCATTCAGCAGAATAACTCTTTTCTAGGAATGACGGAAAGAGCCGAATGGGTTTTTCGATTGAGCTATAAGGAGCAAAATATAGATAGACTTACCCGTAGATGTAGTTGTACGTATAGAAGTACGCATAGATGTACATCAGAATTTAATAATGACAAATTTGTCATTATTTAACCCTGATGTACATATATAGTATGAATCTAGGTTCTTCGGCGAAGCAAATTCTCCGATATTGGAACTATATCGCTTGCGTTTTCAGTGACAAGATGTGCGGAGTACTGTTCTGTACGGAGCACGGGCATTCGTTGTCAGACTCGCTTCCAGAAACGCTGGTAGGATTCCCGAGCCTCGTGCGCAAGAGCCGAATACAGATGGGCGCTCAGAGAACCACATGTCTCTGGGCCAACATCGATTTTGGACTTATCGTTCGAAACTATGGACACGTTCCGAATGGAGCGAAATGTGGCGAAGATAAAGTAAGATGTGTATACGATATTAGTGACCTTTCCTTGTTTAGGTCATGGTCAGGTCATAATTCTAGTAATCGTTGGTTAATTATTGCTACTGCCACGATGGGATATACTATCAATAGCTAATAATACGTGTATTGTTATTAGCTCTTGATACAATTTTACGCTTACCCAGAATATTTTACTTACCAGTTACTTTATGTTGTTGTGAGCCTGATGAAGAGACGCACGCGACTTGAAAGCACCGCACGCACGCACTCACGCACGCACGCACGTGCGCGCCACACTAACATAGAAAAGCACGCCGGAGGGACAACCACACACCACACACACACACACGACACACACACGCACACACCCACCCCCCCCCCCACACACACACAGAGACACACACACACACACACGACACACAACGCACGTACACAACAACACACACACACACACACACACACACACACACACACACAGCCGACACCACCAGACACACCGCCACGCACGCACACACACGCACACACACCCATTTATATGTGATTAGTATGTTTTGGCGCGCGCGTGTGCCGTGTGCGTGCTGTGTCGCGTGTGTGGTGTGTGTGTGTGTGTGTGTGTGGTGGTGCGTGGCGTGCGATGCGCGTGTGCGTGCTTGTGCGTGCGAGCGTGCGCGCCGTCGTGTGCGTGCGGTTGCGTGCGTGGCGTTGCTGTATCTATGTATGCGTAATGCGTTGTGTGAGAGCGGTGTTTCTCCATTCTCGTTACGATATATTACTTTCGTAAAGGTGAGCGTATTTTTCGGTAACTCAGCGTAAAACTATCATACCGGCTACGATACAACTATATAAACATTCAACAGTTTGTCTTGATGTGTGTAGGCTAAAATATTGTTCCAGTGTTTAGATGTGCGTCAACCATAAATGGCGTCTCAGTGGCCAGGTGTTACAGAGTGAGAGAACCGAGCAGTTAAGTCCCCGTGCGCGGAGGGATGGCGCACGGCAATGGGTTGAGTTGTAAAAACTCGTTAAACAGCAGGCAGAAGAACTGTCTTTGTCGTATTGCAACATTTCTGAGACGTTTCTGTCATGGAAACCAGACAGCTTGGCCTGGCGTAGGAATACCTTTACTTTAGTACAAATGTATTAGTGTCCTGGCGAACTGTTATTTTTAGCCTCCAGTTATTGTGCTTCCTGTTACGGCAGGAGGGATTAGTGTTTGACACCGAGGCGTTAATGTTGGTTTGTGGGTTTCGTTGCGTTGTTTTTTGTGTACAGCCTAACGAAAAGTTATTGGACGGTATTTTTGTCATAAATTATTCAGGATGGTCAGCAAAATGGGCGTAACCTTAGAATTGATTAACATCTTTGGTGGTGATCGCGATCGCCAATGTAATTATTAACTAAAAGCTTATCATGAGTAGTCAGGAGATGGGGTAACCTTACGGAATCTGATTGACATTTGTGGTGTGTGGTGATCCGGATACCAATTAATAAATTTTTCAAACAGTGAGAGAATTGAGGGCTGCGCTCTGCGCGGAGGTCTGCGCTCTCCGAGTGCTCTAGTTATGTATGTTTTTACAAACGTTGTTGTTCGGTTAATGGTATAGTTACGCGTAGTTGTCATTAATCCGGTATTTTTCGTCATCGTCATCGTCCTCACAGGTATGCAACAACGTCGGGAACTGTCACTGCTTTGACGGCTATGCGCCTCCGTACTGTCAGAAACCAGGTGCCGGAGGCAGCCCCGACAGTGGACCAGCGTTAGATGACAAAGGTATTACTGCCAACGAGAGAAAGAAGCCTAAGAGAGAGAACTATTCGGTGTTTCAACCACGTTTTAACTTGTATCGGAATTAAAACAAATGTTTTATAGGGTCTTATAAGCTTTTAAGTGCAGGCTTCACTGCCAACGTTAGGGAAACCTAAGCTATTCGGTGTTTCAACTACGTATTACCACAAGCCGGAATTAAAACAACGAATGTTCTATAACTTGTTATATGCGTTTAAGTAAAGGAGCAAGTAGTAATCGCTTCCCACAATCTATTATTATTACGAACTTATTCATGTACTCGCTATAGTAGCTAGGTTAGCTTTGTGGCCTTCGTTCATAACATATGTATATTGTTGCCAAGATTGCTTCGAACACGCCAAAACTAACTTCGACTACGCATTTATGACATTGCGTTTTCCTTACAGGTTCCTTGACGGTGCTCATAGCATTCCTCGTGCTATTTCTAGTCGTTATTCCAGCCATTCTCATTTCAATGGCCATATACTACATCAAGTTCGGATTACCATCATGGATACCGTTGCTAGGGAAGGGCTCGGCTCTAGGGTATGTATTTTTCTACTGAATAGAAAAATGAGTAGCCACTAGCCATATAAGATGATTTACTAACCACGCTTTGTGGCGCGATGAAATCTTTATGAAATTAAACCCATGACGTGTTTATTATCGGATAGTATACTTTAAATATATAAATATAAATATAAATTCGTGTACAGGCGCGCGCGCGTGTATGTTATAAGGCAGCAGTTACTAATAAAGTAGTGACTAATGTATAAGTGTTGTATACAGTAACGATTTCGGTATTATAACATGAAGAACACAAGTGCATACGCAATATGAGTGCATTGGATTTTCATTCAGCCGAAACCAGCCGAATATCAAACCCGAGGAAACCCGAAAATCGAGTTCGTGGAGAAATAAGATGCCAAAGTTCGGAAACATACGGGACACATCGTCACCACAAGTGCCTTCACAACAGGTAACAAGAGCAATCGGAGATAGCAAACCTCCGCCACAGCGTAAGAGTGCCCCCATCTTGCTGCTACACCCAATATAGAGTTTGATGAAATTTTCAGAAATTTGAAAAAAACAGATTTCTTTTTTAATTAATTTTGAATTCGTCCGAAGTCTTCCCCCCCAAAAAAATCTTAGATCCAGATCTGGATCCGGATCACCACCAAGAACTAATCGATTGGTTCTTGGCCCGAGACCAACCCGTCCAAAAAAATTCATCAAAATCCGTCCGTAACTTTTTGAGATATCCTTTTGACAGACAAACAAACCAACAAACAAACCAACAAATAAACCAACAAACCAACAAACAACCCAACAAACAAATAAACAAACAAACAAACAAACAAACAAACAAACCAACAAACCAACAAACAAACAAACAGACCAACAAACAAACTAACAGGGGCGAAAACATTACCTCCTTGGCGGAGGTAATTATATGCATGCACTACACGCCCACCATATATTCCCTATTATATCATCCTCTTTACACTCACATCTCCAGCGCCACCATATTATTATACCGAACCCATAACTACCATATAATACACACTCTACCAGCACTTCATTATACCTAACCCACCACCACCCTATAATATCCACTCGACCACCATACTATTATGCTCAACCCACCACCACTTTATATAATATCCACTCTAGCGCCATCGCTCTGTAATATCCATCGCACCACCATCACCCTAGTTTATCCAACCCACTGCTACCCAATTAAGTCTACTTTGTTATACACACCCCACCATCGCCACAATTCGCATTCACCGGTTAAGTAGCAATAACACGTATATAGTTCAACAGGTTAGATATGAAATAAATGATAGAACATCGCAACAAGTGTGATTACTTTCTGACGTATCGTCTTGCTATTAAAAATGTGTTCTCGTAATGCTGATGATGTTTTGTTAGCAGGTGGAAACACCAGCGAGACCTCTACCACATACACCTTCGCCACGTCAGGTATATAAATGCTTGCCACGGGGCGCGTAATAGCAAAGGGTATCGCAAAGTATATCGCAAAGTATAATGTCCTTTCGAATTTCTTTGTTAATACTCATCACTGCTGCTGCACTGAGAATGCTTATAGTGCATGCTAAATTAACGCATAGAGGGTAGAAAATATGTTTCGTCTTTTTTGTGATGGCGATGAATAACACACAACACGTACACATATGCACGTACGCACGCACGCACGCACGCGCGCACGCACGCACGCAAGCACGCACACAGACACGCACGCACGCACGCACGAACACACGCACGCAAGCACGCACACAGACACGCACGCACGCACG